GAGGTGTAGGCACCTCGGAATGATTGTGTTAAGCTAGCACTAAGTCCCTCCCCCATCCACCTTTACTCTTTTCTTTACAATAAGACTTTCAAATAAATCATGGTTGTACGGCAGTGAAGCAATGATGTTGAACACTGATGTCATGCTGTCGATGATGATAATGATTAGTATAAATGACCTTGTGCCCCATAGAAAACACCGAAGAACATCGGAAGAACCGCACTTATGTCGAGTTTGTTGGGGAAGATAGAAGAGTAGAGGAGGAATCCTGGTAAGCAACTGTCAAGAAGACATTTCTACTGATGTTTTTTAAGCGATCCATACCCCGTGATACAATTTCCAATTGGAAATTTTGATGGTCACGAACGTTCGCAACTCTGTGCGAAGGATTACCCCATAATGTCTACGTAACACGGAAGTCCTGTGACTATTGCTGGTCTCTTAAGAGGATGACTACACCGCTACAGAAATTGGCTCGACCACTTGACGCACAGCAGTGTATGCCTGTGCCAGGCACCCCAGATCAGTGCCTAGAAGCGGGTGGTCGATGGCTCTCACAGGGTCCGACCCATGATTCGAGATAGTTCAGCGGTTAATGCGCGAACCTGCCCACAGGAAGGTCCGTGGTTCGAACCCAATCTCTGAATCTCGACTGCTCTCGTCTAGGGTTGGGCAACCCTGTAGCATCTGGACCTTAATCCCACCCCTTCAGGTGTCTTGACAGCTATGCACCGAAGGGGTGTTCAAGCCGGGTTGCCCAAGCCTAGACAGGGGAAGTCGAGAGGCGGAGGTCGGGTTCAAACCATGGACCTTCCCGTCAGTAAATTAGTACTCTAACCACTTTGGCTATCTCGCCCCATTGTCGGCTGGACATCTCCCCGTGAAAGCAGCTTTGGAACGATTAGCTTGGTTTGGACCCAGAATAGACGTGTATTCGATGAGCTCTCCTTATTAAAAAAAAACGATCTGACGGTAACAAGCGGCAGACATAAAAAAGATACTACACAGACAAAGCCAAGAATATAACCTACTTCACATTTGTCCGCGGTTGCATACAGCTGGAGGAATTTGTTGAAGACCTTTTGAGCAGCGATTTTCACTTCCATGGATCGTTTGTAGCGACGACACTGGAATAGCAGGGAGAAGGGAGGATAACGAGTCCCTTGATTAAGTATTCGCTAACTGCCGTAAGAATATTGCCCCGTGTCGTGGCACCATCAGTGACTCGCTGGAGCACACTAGTATCGCTGGCAGGAACACCAGGGCTCCGCGGCCAAACGGCCCTTTGATGCCGCAATAATGCACAAAGCGTTACGACGCAAAATGCATTAGGAAAGGCTGGATTTCTGTGGGGAATCACCGGATTTCCTGAGAGTTCGGTCAGAAGCAGAGTTTGCACCTAGCCAAGTCACTTGATTCTGATTGGCTGCTACTCTTATCATACTCACATAATACACGTATTTCGTTAGTACGCGGTAGTCATTCCAGTCGATTTATTCAACAATCCCGTGTCATACAACCACACGCCTTTTAAGCAATTGAATTATTCCTAATCAACATTACCAGTTTGCATGAACAAGCTCTGCAGTACCACATTCAAACAAGCAACAGCGAGCGACCACCACTTTAGACAAACAGATTGTTTCAAGTCACGCTGTGTGTGAACAAGAACCATGAACGACCTTGTTTTACTCCAGTGCGATTTGGAAAAATCATTGTTCGTTCACGTGCAGAGATCAGTGTGGGAAGACTAGTATCAACAAAAAAGTAGAACACACTGCAACATCAAGACAAGGCACACACACACAAAACCGGAGTATATACCTTTCGAATAGTCTCCACTACAATCCAACACTTGGCGAGAACCGGCAGGGATATTTGAATCCGATCAAGCATTTCTAACCGGTCAACACAAGTGGAAATGTCTTCGTGGTCACGCACGAGGCTCGATTTGATGGATCGATCAATCAGGAGGAGGCGAGCTTCGGTGTCCAAGTCTTTTAGCTGCTGTTCCTGTTGTTTTCTTGGTGGCAGGGGGCTCGGTGCGCCCATTGCGGAACGAGAGGGAGGTGGATAGGTAACGCTGGGCGGAGATGATGGAAAAACGGAGGTGCGTCTGCAAATTGAGGGAACAGCAAAGTCCAACAGCAAATAAAAGGGTTAACTGCGGTCTAAAAGGAGATGATAGCACTTAAGACGACGCGACAAAGGTACAAGAGACTTGACTCAAACTTTTCAGTGGATATACTACGCTCAATCACGCATAAGTAGTCCTCCGGAGAGACCATTATAGATGGAATATTGTCCTGTAGGCTCAGGATGGTTTCTCCTCGTGGGGAGAAGGCTACGTCACTGATCCAATGTGACAACACCAGGCACTGAAACTTGCAAAACATTTGAGGAGTCGTTCTCACAAACTACGCGGTGCAAATTCTAACATTCACGAGCACCCACGATGGTTGCTTCAAGACGAACCTCTTGATTACTCGTTGGGAGGAATAGCTTGTGTCAAAGTCGCTTGGCTTTTCAAGTGGACCAAGCGGAATCCCCATTGCTCTTAAATTTAGCCGGGTAAGAGCGACGTCCTAACCTAAAACAGGCATCGTCTAGCGGAGAAGTCGTAAATATACATATATATATATATATATATATCT